GCGTTAAAAATAGACTTGCCAATACAAAAATTGACTTACTGACTCGAATACAAATCGATGGAATCATAGGCAGGTGTAGAAATATTTACCTACAATTTCTACAGCCAACAAAAATCAAAATCGAACAAATTAAAGATAGACTTTCTGCAGGACTATTGACTCAAAAATCGACTATGGGAAAAATAGAAAAAAAACAATGAATTATTGGCCCATTTCCACAGTGTCCGACAAACTGCATAATGAACCGTAATGGGTTCAAGATAGACTTGCCGATTGAACAATTGACCTTTTGACTCAACGGCGAACCAAAAGAGATAAACTGTTGACTTAATTACTTCAATGCCAAACAAACGGAATAATGAATAGCCTGCGTGAGAGATATTTACATATTGTCCGGTCAATTGACTTATTGTCATAACGGTCTGACAGGGAGATAACGATTGACTTATTGACTCAACAACTGACCTATAATGTTATGACAGCAACCTATGCCCCACCTAGGATCTAGTACCAAGGATGGAGACTAAGTGAACTGAGGGCTAACTGAAAAACTGGCTGATTGACTAAACCGATAATGAATTACGGCGTGGATACAATTATTGACTTATTTACTCAATGGACAGGAAACGTAAAAAGAATAAGATATGTAAACTAACATATTGACTGAACTTATTGACTAACTAAATTCACTAATTTTCGTGGTCCGCTTGACCAATTAATATCATTCAATTAATTAAGGTTTTTAGTTGAGATAAAATGGCAAAAAGGAGGGAAAATTCAAAAGGTGAGGTTGAGATGGGAAGTTAGTGCCCGAGCGGATCGAAGTCACGATAGCTCAAGTGGTAGAGTAGCGGCGTATCAAGCCGAAGGTCGTGGGTTCGAATCTTGCTCGTGACACTGACTTTTTTATCTCAACTAAAAACCGTCGTGAAAATTGAAAATTGAAAACCCATTTGGCTTAATAATTCAGTTTGTGCATTTTTCCCTTGGTCTATCATTGAGTCAATAAGTTAATTGTTCTGGCAGCAAGTCTATCTAACATATTAGACTCATTATGCCATTTTTGTATATTTGGATATAGGTCAAACTTCTTCATCTTCCTATTGTTATTCCGAAGTTTTATTTGAGTCAATAAGTCAATTGTTCTTGCAGCAAGATTATCTTTAACACAGTCGGGTCATTATAACGTTTGTGACTGTGGAAATGGGTCAGTAATCCTTTTTAAAAAGATAGTTCCTACTCACCGTAAGTTAGGCGTTTTCTGTATAAGCCCAAAACATGAGCAATCAAACTCATTAGGGAAGTACACTTCGGTTTTCAAGCAGAAATACATGCCATCAATGCTTGTGCCGTGGAAAATCTTAAAAGAGGTTACACTGACACAAAAAAATCCTCATAAGATCAGATAGCCAAGCAGCTATTAAAGCATTAACATGTAAAAGAATCACATCAAAATTAGTCAGTGAATGTATCCAAATTCTCCAAAACCTGGGGAAACACAACAACCTGATGATATCTTAAGTGCCATGGCACAGGGGAATTTTGGGACATGACAATGCAGACAATCTGGCTAGAAGAGAATCTGCAAGACCATACATAGGTGCTGAACCTATACTTGGGATAACAAAAACAAATATAGAATCCTCCATCGCAGAATGGATCCAAACAAAACAAAAGGAGAATGGATAAACTCTAGCGGTGCTAGCCATAGTAAACTTATGATGAAACAACCCTCACCAAGACCGGCAAAAGAACTGCTGCAATTGGAGAGGGCCAAACTCAGAGTAGTGGTAGGACTACTAGCCGGTCACTGGCAGCTGATAAAACATCTACAAAACATGGGCATCCACAACGATGATCCCATATGCAGATTATGTAATTAGGAGGAAGAAACAGCCATTCATATCATCTTCGAATGCGAAGCAACAGCTCAATGGAGATTTAACCTAACGTACGGAAAAAACTTAGGGAATCAAATTGCAGCAGCAACAGTCAATCACCTGATACTTCTAAGAAGAAGGATTGAGTCTACTGCACTGAACTAAGGAACTCGGAAGGTACTAGAAGGCTGCAGTGCCTGGGGAGTGCAAACCCCGCTTCCTAGTATCCTTCTTCACCATACCATACCATACCATACCACAGTAATTTGTTTTGCAATGATCCGGATTTCGAGCCCTTAGCTCATCATCATGTCGACAGACGTGGTTGTAGAAATCCTTCAACATGATGAGGAGGGCTCGAAATCCGGATCGTTGCAAAACAACTTACTGTGAGAAGGAACTATCTTTTTAAATGGATTGAACACCGCACTCACTCCATCATTCATCATTTCTACGTATCAGTAATTCTTCCTCCCCCCGCAAGGTCGATTTTTCAGTCAATAGTCCTGCAGAATGTCTGTAATTTGCTCCATTCGGGTTTTTTTGTTGGCTATTGAAATTGTAGGCTACATCTGCCTATGATTCAGTCGATTTTATTTGAGTCAGTAAATCAATTGTTCTGGCAGCAAGACTCGCTTTAGTCCATTCCGTTCATTATGCCATATGTTATCTTTTGAGATCTATAGGTCAATATTTCTCTATCTGCCTATTATTAAGTAGGTTTTATTTGCATCAATGAGTCAATTGTTGTATCAGAAAGTCTATTTTTTAGCCCATTCGGTTCATTGCATTGTTTGTTGTCTTTCGTGGAATTTATTTGTTAACAGCAATTCATTCATCACTCAAGTTACCCGTTGAGTCAATAAGCCAATTGTACAGTCCGCTTGTCAATTGGTCCACCATCCGTCATATTAGAGCTTCGGTAGGTACTTGAGAACTTCGTAGTCCGTAGTTGAGTCAATAAGTCAATTCTATCGACTGAACAAATGGGACGATTATCGCATAACAATAGAAAACAAATAAATTGAAAAGTGCCGTTTTGTTGTCACTTGTCCGATCCATGGTGAATGTTTATTAAAGTCGTTACCGCCGCCGGTCTGTTTTCCTATTGATTTGTTTTTTGTGGGAGTGGTTTGACGAGGGGTTGGAGGGTGAAAGTGTCGAGGAAAAATTTGTCCCAACTTCGAAACTTTGATTTTGTAATTGCAAAACTTCGCGCTGAAGTGTACATTGCTGGGCCGAAGACAAGTCAATAAATCCATTGATATTCGGCCGGGTTTGTAATGCACTTTGGAACTGATTTTACGGCCACCTCCAGTTGAGGAACACAAGTTCATCTCACTGTTCGCATTCCAATTCAACAACTCGGATTATCGCGATTATCCGTTATCTCGGGGGTTTTTTATACGGGTTTAAGTAGGTTAATCGTTCCCTCTCCGGAACGGAAAACGCCCGCAGGTGTAACAGCTCTGGATCCGCGAGGCGGGGGATTCGAGCCGTTATCAGAAAACCACTCAATGTCACTTACACAACCGTTGCGCAATTGTTCCCTCGCCAAAGCGCAATATGAACTGGTTCCCGGTATCAGTAACAAGCGAGATCCGTCGGACCCAACAACTGTCGTACAACACAACTTTTTAAAAACCAAACTGTGTCCTGTTCTCATTACCTACATTGAAACATAGCATATAGTCCTAGATACCTGATTCTACCTCCTAGCCATGAAACCTAATCTTGTTTGTCCTAGTTAAATGATATGAATCTTTACAGTTAGTCACCACTGATATTTTTAGGTGCGACCGGATAGCTGACATACCGAGGAACTAGTATCATGGACATAAAATAAACAGGAAGTTAGGTATCGTTGATCAAGAAATATGGGAGGAAGCTCTATCTGTCTAATTATGAGTATCAGGGTAGGAGCTATGTTACGTAGATCTAGAAATGTAGGAGGAAGCTATGACCTACCCACGAACGAGTATCAGGGAACTAGGAGCTAGTTTTCATATATCTAGAAACGTATATCATACATTATTCGAAAAGCACAGCTCCTTGTTTATCCTAGATTCATGTTATTATTTTCTAGGTAGGTCATAACTATCACATTTTCTAGATCCACGAAATCTAGCTCATATCCTAGATCCCTAATATTAGCCTTAACTCAAGCTGGGTTAGGTACACCCAAATTTCTAGATCAACGAAACCTAGCTCCTACCTTTTTCTTAGATCCCATTTGCCATACCTTCCTACATTTCACGATAAAAGAATCTAAACTAGTTGTTCCTAGGTCCGTGATACTAGTCCTAAGTCAGGCTCCCAAATTTCTAGGTCCGACAAGGATAGCTCGTACTATATGCAAGATAATTGGTAGTACACCCTGCCATACTTTCCTCCTAACTTTATGATTTGATGAAACCAAGTTCCTAGTTGTGGTTCCATTTTACTAATTCTAGAACCACAAAGCCTAGATGAGCCTTTTTCCTGGCTCATTGATACTAGCACCTAAGTAGGTAATACGTGCCTCCCATACCCTCCGGTTATCACACATTGAAAAACATAGCTTCTAGTTTATCATATAGAACCTTTCTTTTCTAACTTTCTAACACTTTTCAAGATTTACGTAACTTAGTTTCTAGTTCTCCGATTCTTGACCCAAGTTATGTCGTAACATTCAGTTCAATTATTAAATTCACCTTACATAGCTCCTACTTTTTCTCCTATTTTGGAGTCGGCACTTTCTAGAGCTTTGACGTTGTTGTTGAAGCAAGTAATGGCGTGTTTCTCCTGTTTGCATTTCATTTATTTTTCGTTAACCCCCTTGAAGATCCGGCACGCCATGAATTATTCTGTGCACATGATGCGCCTCCCGTCATCGATCCGAGGTAAAAACGGCCCCGGGGCCAGGTTCTTACATGCATATTGGAGATTAGGTTTTCCGACCCTCTCATGTCAGTGCGGGGGGTGGAGTAAGGGGCGGTTGATAGGATATTTCCCGAAAGGCCGAGACCCGGAAACAGTCTGTGAATATTTAATGAAACGCAGGTCCGCGGGATCGAGTATCAGACGATGGCATTGTCTTCCGGCGGGTCGAATCCGACATTATCGAGTGTTTTTTTGAAGGGGATGGAGGAGGAGGAGGAGGAGTCCCAATCGGAGCGATTGACGGTCAGGTCTTCGAGAACGGTCACCCACTCCTCCTTCACGTCGTTCGACGAGACCGTCGTAACTGGTCGAGGCACGCTGAGGAGGATGGGAGGCTCGGAGTGCGAAGACCTGCCCGGCCTCTTGCCCAACACCCTCCGACCGGCGGACAGTCCCGGGGCCAGCTCAAGGAGCATGGACTGCATACGGCAGGAGCAGAGGAGCTTCATCGAGAGGGGGAGCGAAGTGAGGAGGTTCGCAAGGTCTTTCGGCTCCAAGGGAAGCCACGAGTCGTTCGAGGAGGTCGAGAGAAAGAAGGCCGTCTTCACGAGTCCCGCCGTCCGCCTAGTTCCGTCCCACCTCTCACTCGCGCCCCCCGGCACCGAGAGGAAGCTGACCATACTCAGCCCAGGATGGGGCCCCGACCATCCCAAGATGAGGAAACCGCAGATCGCCCTGCCAAGGCTCATCCTGCCCACGCCGGACCAGCAGAGTTGGGGGTAAGGAAAGAAAAAACATCCTACTAGGATAAACTTTTTTGTATACGATAAAACAAAATGTTAAATCAATCAACGAATTGTTAACTTCTAAACACCTTCTTCCTGCAAAGAAACATAGCTCCAAATTATTCCTAGATCTTTGATGCTGTTTCCTACTTTACTAGCACACTTCAACATTGTTAAAAATGAGCTACTACTCCTTCTTAGATCCTTGATACTATACCGTTCCTGTCCTACCAACCTCCTACATTACTAGATCCACCAAACCCAGCATCTAGCAATAAGCCAGATACCCTAGCGTCATACCTTCCCTCTACCTTTCAAAATGTACGATACCTCTAGATCTTTGATACTAGTTCCGAGGACCATCATTATCACACAACATTCTTGCAACCTAGATAGAAGTTTATCCTAGATGCATGACATTAGGCCTAACCTGTCCAACCTGCCCCTCACATTTCTACAACCATGAACTATCTTCGAGCATTGCCTAGATCCTTGAATCTACCTAGCCAAACGTACCTCTCCTACCTGTCTCCTACATTTCTAGATTTACCAAACCTGTTTATCCCATCCAGCCCAGAACTGTCATACCTTCATGTTATCACACAATAGTTGAAAAAACCAAGCTCTTAGTTATTCCTAGATCTATGGTACTAGTTCGTAGGTAGGTCATACCTGCCTCCCACATTTCTAGATTTACGAGGCCTAGCTCCTAGTTTTTCTTAGATCTTTGATACTGAACTCTACCTGTCATCACTTCTAAATCTATGATACTATAGCTGCGGAGTAGTATCAAAGATCTGGGATAAACAGGAGCTAATGACCTGAATCTTAAAATTTCGCAGGAAGGTATGGCATTACTGAGGTCTAGAATCAAGAATATAGGATAATATAGAAGCTAGGTTTGGAGGATCTAGAAATGTAGGAGGCGGTAGGAAAGACAGATATGACCAGTTTCAGGGTACTAAGAGATTGGTTTCTCGAATATTATATGATAACAGGATGGTATGACCTACATAGGAACTAGTGACAAGAATCTATGAAATACTAGAAGCTAGGATTTTTGGGTTTTGAGATGCATGAGTAAAGTAGACATGTTGTATGGACCTAACCTAACTGTTGGACTGGTTAAGGTAAAGTTAGGGTAGGTCAGGTTTAGGCTCAGGTTAAGGATAGGAAGATTAGGTATGGATTTGGTTTAGGCTAATTTAGATAGAGGTAAGGATAGGTTAGGAGTAGGGACTAGCTAGGTTAAGTTTAGATTAAAGTTAGAAGATGGCGAGTCAAAGGTTAGGGACTGCTTATGTTAGGTTTATGTTAGATGGCTAGATGAGGGTTATAGGTTGGTTAAATTGTGTTAGAATTAAGATTAAGGAATGATAAATGAGGGTTAGGGACTGGCTATGTTATATTAGGGTTAAGGTTAAGAAAGGCTACTCGAGGGTCGATGGGTTAGGGTAGGGTTTAGGTCGGGTTAGGGTAAAGCTAGTTTATGGAAAGGGTTAGAGCTAGGTTAAAGAATGGGTAGGTTGAGGGCAGGCCAGGTTAATTTCGGGGATGGTTTAGAGTAGGCGCAGGTTAAAAAGAATACTAGGTTAGGGTTAGGGGTAAGGTAGAGTTATATTTAGTAGGGCTAGATGTATCTACAAATGTCGTATGAGCTTGGTTGCCCGTATATTTTATGATAGTAGGTGTTATGATAGGTAGGGTCTAGTATCAAGGATATGACATTTCGTAGGTTTTCGGTTTGGTGGATAGAGCTGTGGGAGGAAAGTATGACAGGTATGCTCTAGTATCATGGATCTAAAAATAACTACCACCTGATTTTTTTCATGTTCGGATGTTCGAGAAAGGAATGGCATAGCTTGGAGGTAGCATCAGGTATCACATACAGATGATATTAAACACAACCTATCTTTCAAGATTTACGAAATCTTCTAGTTAATCATAGATCTTTCCTGTTACACACTAATCTATCTATTCGACCTCCTGTTTTCACCCTAACCCACGGCGCAGCCGGCCGCTTGTAACAACAAGCAGACGGTTAAATATTTATAGTAAACGGCCTAGACCCCTAAACACCGTGGGCCGGGTACCGAACAATGAAAGGCGCGGAGTTTAATTGTCATAAATTGAGGGGGCGATCATTAATGATGCGATTCATTTGGAAAGGGGGAGAGGGCAATTTCCTAAATTTTTTTTCCCCATTTGACGTCAATATGTCAATTTCCTCCGGCCCGAGCCGAACGATCCCGAATCCGATCCAATGATTGATCACCGGCCATGACCCCTATGGCCGTTATTTCTCGTTAACCGTTGAAAATATGATTTATGATATCAACGTATTTTCAGTTTGTTTTGGCTTTTAATTCGTAAGCGAGGGAGAGAGGGTGGATTTTTTTTCTTCCCATCAAGAACACATATAATATAAAACAACCGACAAGTGAACATCATCGGATTCAAACATGCAAAGTGTCATTTCACTCGTTGTTCAATGCAGATCAATGATCAAGAAAAAAAGAAAGAAAGAATTTTCAGTTAAACGGAAAAGAATTAAACAAAAAGAAAAATATTCACTTTAACGTGTTTTACCGTGGGTTTTGTTTATGTAAATCTTTCATGTTCGAATTGAATGAGAAATGAATAAATGATTGTGAATATGTGACATGTAGATAAAGGACTTTAAGTCGAACATGAAACACTTGTTTTGTGCTACTCAACCTGGATTTCTCACGAATGCCTTGTAATCTTCGGTTCGAAACAACCCCCAGGGTGAAGTTTGGAAACTTTAATTGAAGGAGGGGTGCGCTTTGTCATTAAAGCCGCTCTGATTCAATATCGGATTCAGTTTGAAATCGTTGGGCCCAAGTTTCACAACCGGGCGAGCTTTCGGTATGAGAAGATAATCTTCGGAATGAGAGATAATCCGCCTTTTGTGAGAAAACCAGCGTCTTTCGCTGTCCGAAAAAGGGGAGGGGTCAAGTCCTAAGTTCTTATTTTGTAATTACGTTTAAGCTTCGACCACATTCTTAAAGCTCCTGTTGGAAAGAAGAACCCTGATCCATTGGTGTTCTCGTTCCTTTGAAGTACAGAATTTCTTAAATAAAGATTTTCCAGCCGGATCTTTTCAGTCTTCAACACTTTTCTCTGATACCCTTTTGAAACCTCGGCTTACGAAGAAACATTGAATCATCACACGTCATCATCCCCTCAAACTATAACTTGAACCCCAACGTAATATAACCCAAGCAATAATCTAACTATTACCTGGACCCTCCCTAACTTTAACCTAACCGTCTTTAATCCTCGTCTAGCTTTCCCTAACAATAATATAAGTATAACCAACCATAAACCTAACCAGTCCCTAAATTAACCCAGCCCTAGCCCATCCTTAATCCCTTCCTAGCCTTCCTTAAAGACCTTAGCCTAAACCTCACCTTACCCCGTCCCTAACCCTAACTTAACCCCTCCTATTCCATACCTAGCTCATTCATAATTTTACCTAACCTTAACTTTAACTAATTTAACCTTAACCTTACCGTTATATTTCCCTAACCTTAACCCTACTTAACCTAAACTTACACCTAACCATAACCAAACGTAGCCATAACTCTGACCAAAACCTTACCTACCTGTAAAATTTACTCTACCTAACTTAACTCTAGCATAACCTTTCCCTAATCCCAACCAACCCTAACCTCAATCCATCTTTCGACTTATCCACGTACCCCCCATTCGTTTGTCCCCGTGTTTATCTTCTTTTGAGACGGGCTTATAAGGGTGGCATGTCTCAGAATGGGCCTTTCCTTCCTTTGGCATCCTTTTCAAGACTCGTCCGAGCGAGGCTTCCAAATGCGGCCGCCAGCTAACGCATTTTCCCCTCTACCGGTCCACCTTGGTGCCGGTCCAGGATCATGTGCCAAATGGTATTTCCGACGAAATCCTCCCCCTCACTCTGAATTTTTTTCAGACGGTTTTAAAACGTACAAATTGCCTTTGATTGGGGTGAAATCCGTTTTTCCACCCTTCTTCAGGGGGTTGATGAAAAAATCCAAAGGCGAGCACCTCCCGGCCTCGCTCTTTTTCTAATGCAAATTTTGCCAAATAATCCGAGCCGGTTTTTTAAAGGATAAACACAGCTAACCGTGTAGAGATTGCCCAGGCAACAGTTGTGGGACAGGTTTTATTTATCCTCCCGGGCCCTGGACCGATTATTGTTCTCCGGCCGAAATGGTAAACAGTTTTAAATTATCCATCCTGGCAGGATTTACTGTTTTCCTCCTTTTGTTCCTTAATCCGACCCTTAAACCCGCCAGGTTTTTATGGCTATACCAGAGATTCCGTTTTGATGTTCAAAACTTTACCACCACCCCCTGAGCAATGTCACCACAAAGAGGCCTTCGACCACAATGTTGTGGGAATGCGAATTACCCGTCCTCAACCTGTCCCTCGCTTTCTCAACATTAAATAAACAATTTACAATTAACGAAGAAATAAACTAACAACAGCAATTATTTTTCTGTTTTAGGTAAGTCATGCCTGATCCAAGGCCAAGCGTTGACAAGTAAAAAAAAAAATCGAAAAAGTAAGTCAAATATGACATAAATCTCTTTAAAAACATTTAATTAACTAAACAAATAAAAAAGACACAGATAAAAAGAGAAAAAATAAAGAAAAACGTACACAGCAGCACACTCAAGGCTACACAAAGAAAAAGCTCTGCTTAAAACAATTTAAAATTTTTTTTAAAAACTACCCAAAAACCAAAAATATATATTACAGCCATCAAAAAATATATTAAAAACAAAAAAAATCCACAAAAACATCCGAAAATCCCTCCCAGAGAATTCTACCGGCCGGCCGGCGAACTAACAAAACAGGCAGACGCCCGCTAGATGGGATACGAAGTCGCAACATGGTCGCGATCGGGTCAAACCCGGGCGGTGGGGCTTTGACTGTACTTTCTCATCTATCAACGGACGCCGACTGACATGATT